CGGCACTCCTCTGGTACCGCTGTATTAATTTCTGGAGGAAAAGCTGCCCATAAGGTTGCCGAAAACTCTTCGACAGCCCAAGACCGGTTTCAACCTCCCTTGGACTCCACCAGTTCCAGAGTTAAGACTGGAATCAGTTCGTGAAATGCCCACATTTGCGCATTTGTTCTAAAATGGGGAGGGGGCTTGGTTGGAGGCTTAATCCACATTGTGAGTATTAAGGGAACCAGCTCCGAACGTAACGGGACTATATGACAACCAATGGAATAAACGTTTTTCGTTGAGACAGATTTCATTGGTTGTCCTTCACTCGTCCTTGACAGATGAGCTGTATTCTTATTATCACTATTTTGACCTGCTTGTGTGCGACCATGAACAATAGAGTAGCTGGCTCGCATGTTGATTGACTTTTCTGGTTTGGCCAAGCGCACCAGGCTATCAATCGACTATCCAGACCGGGGTTCACGGTAATAAGAAGGCATTAGGGAGACTGTGGGCCACAACTGTGACTACTCGAAACGCACCAGTAGTATTATCTGTCCTTAGAGAGATTTATATCAATGGGATTTAGGGCTTCGAGTTGAATGGGTAAGATGCTCATTGGTGATAGCTAAAAGCGAGGACAGAAAACCTGCAATTATCCTCAACCTTCCGTCAGATTGCGACCTACAAAGCTCGTCCCAACCTGAAAACGACGAGTATGCTGCCAAATGGGAGAGAGTCGGAGCCGGGGACTCCACCTCCACTTGGAAAACCACTCAACATGACTGAAGAATCAAGGTCAATTTATATCACATAAACGTCGCAAGTCTACAACACAGCAAAGAAGTCACTCCCGGTAAAACGGTATTGCGTACAAGTGCACGTCTAAAGCTTGTGAGATTGCAGTCTTGTGAGCTGGTTCTACCGAAAGGGAAAGTACACCTGTACACTCCTGCTTGCCTTATACTATCTGCTCGCAAGGCGAAACCCAAACCAACGCTGTGTACTTTTCTACTACTCACAAACAATAGGCCATATTTACCTGGACCGCTGATTACATGTTACCTCTCCGCCCTACAAAGCGCAATTTGCTCAGTTACAAGGAAAAATTAAAATCAATGGAGGTGTTTAAGTACATAATTCTTTGATTCCCATTGGGAGCCTTTCCGCTTCTCTTGGTAAACATTTCTGATGAGTTTAGGCGACGAATGAAATGAAAGGATTCCTGAGCGACGATTAGTCAAGTAGTTGTTGGGTTGGCCGCAGAAATTGCCGAAAGAATTGTAGCAACGTGGGATGTAATCAAGTGATCCGAAAGAACCACTCAGTTGGTATTTGATCATGCGTGGATTTCTCGCAGTGAGCAATGTTCGGAGGTGGTGTCCACGTACCATTATGACAGACAGAGAAGGTGGTGCCCACGACATGAAATCCTGGAGAACAGCGGAAGTGAGCTACGGTCCCTTGTCGTGGAGTCTCTTCCAGAGTTGCCGCTCCACTCATTAGGATGTTTCTTGATGTGGGATGTTTGAGTTCCACCTGGACCGTCTTGTGCAGTATGAGTTTGGAGCAAGTCACTGAATTCGGAAGAAGACAAAGCGGTGCGGAGACAATAAGTTTCCCTTAGCGAAATACTCATTCAAAACAGACTACCATACCGAGAAACGTATGTATTTTTGTAAGTCGTTAGGGCAGGGAAATCTGCGTGCTAGTCCGGCATCCAAAACAGCTCATTGTCTCGGTTTTGTGGCGGATATGTCTGTCTTTAGGCGAGAGACGAGCACTGGGCCAGTTCAGCTAGTTAGACTGGACAAAACTCTTCTGTTCAGGTAGGAGAAGTCAGATAGCAACAGCTTTGGCACTCGAGAGATTGTGTAACCGTTCCGTTTTGGGGTGGTTTTTTGGATCTGATACGTATCCTAAAGTTTGATATCTCAATCAAAGTTGTGCCTTGTGTAGACCAGGTGGGAACCTGTACCTCCACTTTGAGGAGTGCTCTTTAGTCCACTTAAACAAGTGCTGCACCGTATGATCCACACAAGTATCACTACATGTGCCCTTGAAGCTGTAGACAACCGTCAGAGGTATCAGAACTAACAATGTCTTCAACTTGCGGGTGTAGAAAAGGTGAAGTTGGGAGGTTTAGCTATGTCTCAGGTGGATCTTACCGTCGCGGGGAGAATGTGGTTCTATTGATTGGGATGTTACCCCCAACACACATATTCGCCAGCCTGGAATCAAATCGCTTGATTGTGCCACTATTAGGAGAACCAGCTCCGAACGTAACGGGACTAAATAACTGCCAATGGAATAACCGTTTTTCGTTGAGATCGACTTCATTGATTGTTTTTCACTCGTCCTTGACAGATGAGTTGTATTCTTAGTAGCACTTTTTTGACCCGCTTTTCCGCGACAGTGAGCAATTGATCAGCCGATTCGCACGTTCTGGTTCGGTCAAGCGCTCCAGGCGATCAGGCGGCTATCCAGACCAAGCTTCACGGTAATAAGAAGGCATAAAGAGACTTTGTTCCACAACAGCAACGTTTGGATGGACTACATAAAATCCACATAGCAGGACCTCCGGCGCGACTGATCACTGGCATAAATAGTTCTCCCTAAAATAGGGTGTCTTGGTTGCTGTTTAATTTCCTGGATACCGCCGATGGACTACATAAAATCCACATAGCAGGAATTCCGGCGCGACTGATCGCTGCCATAAACAGTTCTCCCTAAAATAGGGTGTATTGGTTGCTGTTTAAATTTCTGGATACCGCTGAGAGAAAGGATGCCTTCGCGTTCGGCAAACATGTATTAGGTGGTTATAAGCTACTAGACAACACCATTTGCACCGAGTTGTTGAAAAGTCGATAAACGCAAGCATGCACCTGAGCATTTCTAGACTCTATTTGACCATTTCACATAAAATAGAAAACTCTGCAAAACGGTCCAACGAGTTCCAAATAAACCTACCACCAGTTACGGGTACAGCCCCAAGAACCACATGAACAGATACTACTCGTCCGTTTCGTTAGTAGTAACTGCTAGTGGCCCCAAAGAATTCGTTCACTCAGAGATTCCAGTCAGTATCCTATCATGTCTAATTACCTCCAAGTCTGTTACCAATCGAGGTGACATCATCTGTGCGTAGTTGTGCGTAGCGGTGGGTTAGTGGTTGTCATTAGTGGTTGTCAATTCATTGGCATACCTGGAAAAGCGTTTATCCCACCAAGATATGGTAGGGTATGATATAATGAGTGTGGTATTATGGACAGGCCAATCGTCTTGTTCACATCATTCGGTGGGCCAAAGAACAGGTCACAAGACACTCAGCACCTGATGAGGACTTCGTCTCAACAGCGCTGCAGCTAACTTGGTTCTTCTCTCTTCTAAATGCATAACTATTCTGGTCAGTTTGTCCTCGAGTTACCGGATTCGATCTTTGATCTTATTAGAACTCAACAACAGTGCAAATGTCAGTGCTCCACCAGAACATGGTGGCTGAGGCTAGATTACCAGATCTGAACAGCCAAATTAGTTCACGCTTGAATGACCGGGTCGGCCTACTCAGTGAATCGAGGACGGCCCAGTAACCTTCCGGGTATCGAATCTAACGTGTAACCGTTCGGAAATGAACGGCTGATCAGCACTGAGATTAAATCTCAATTAGGCAGGACAAAGTAACACTTCATCTTCACTAACAGAGACTACATCACCTGGTCACATTTTGACTGACTTTTTGAGTAACAGGTTCTCAAATGGAAGTTGCATTCATCCAGTGGAATTATTCTTCGTCTAAGCTACTCATCGTAGTGTGAGGCGATCTGGTCATCCTCAGTTTAAATTTCATCCTGTAAGTTAAGTCAAACTATATCGCTGTACAGCTGTTTCATTCTACTCGGAATCATAAACACTACGCACCTGACGAAACTCCAGGGATTGTAGAACCCGGTCCGTTAGTATTAACACATTACGACGTTCGGACTGTTCGGTTGGATGTCGATGGTGCTGGTACGTTCACCATTTTACTTTGGAACCTGGCCAACCCGGAGACATCTCGACGTTATCTGACTTTTTTTTAGCATAGCAGTTTAGTCATAGACTTTACACATCTCATTGTAGAATGGCAGGTTTAGTGGGAAATTAGGTTAGTGGCCGATCGACATAGTTGAGCGCCCAAGTAATTGGAGACGTGTTTCACAATAACCGTATTCACAATCTGTCTGTGACGTTCTTTATTTAGTCCCGACAGTATCGGTCCTTTCCTTACTTCCAGCCATCCGTTTACTTCTACTTATCCGTGTTCTCAGGGCATTCCAGGCTTTTCAAATTTCAAATTCTTCCCTGGGTGTAACAGCGAAGAAATGACTGTATTCGCAAAGCCTTATCACGATGATCCTAAATCTTGGTCACTGTTATGGATGGTTTCTGCAGGTACTCATGTTACACTCATAACGACGCAAAGTTGGTCAGCCGTGACAATTTTCTGGCCAACTTTCGAAACTAATCCAAACAGCTTGAGATAATGAAGAAACAAGTTAGAAGACGCATTCGCTCCTCTCATATTGCGCTTGCCTAAAATCGGTCCGGCAATTTGTGTGCTGCATGAGGTTTCACTGGGCATCAAAAATGCATACCTGTTTCAAAGCAGACTGATCATCGATATAAGTAGTATGGGACGATGGCTCGAGGTTTGCAGATAGCACTGTTTAGAAGTCATCAAATGAGCATAGCTCCGGAATTCGCGTGAAATCCCACCACTGACTGGAACAGCGATTCGTTTGAACGTTTATTTTTTTAACTTGTTTTCAGATTTTTCAGAAAAATAGAAATGTGCTATCGACTAATATGGACGCCTCCGAGGCTCGAGTCCCAGCGAACTCAATCAGCATTCAATCTTAATAGTTTGCTTGGTGTGAATTCTTTCGGATAAGATGCTCCCGCTTGCCGTGCCTCTTATTTAGAATAGTTTGAGTCTTGCATTGGCAAGATACTTGAGGTGTGTAAAGCTTCCGCTTACCCGGTTCACAAAATACTGGGATTCCAACCCATTCTCCATGCAAACACCGGATGACACCCAGCGGGTCATCGTTACTCCCCGCTGCGTTTAGAGGCTGGACAATTTGCTTCGTCTCATCCACACGAAGAGTGTGACCCACAAAACACTCGTATCGGCCTTTTGCTTCGTGCTTGAGACTGTAGAAGCGAACGCGAGCTCCAGGGGCTGGCGGAGGCCGAGTTCGGCATGACGCTGAAAAATGGATAGGAATTAATTTGAATTTGTCAAGCTGAACCGACCAATGGACTTTGTAACCAATGGGATAGTCTTAAAACGTACGATGGACAAAATGAAATGCCCGGTGTGGATTTATGGGTCGTCAAACTTTGTTTACTTTTCATCGGGTCACACGTTCTGATTCAGCACAAATCTGTGGAACGGACTTGTTGATTATTAGGAGAACCAGCTCAGAATGCAACCGGACAACACAACCGCCAATGGAAAAACGCTTTCGTTGTGACAGATTTGGTTGGTTGTTCTTCAGTTGGCCCGCCCACGTGAGCCTTATCAACAGCCCGTTTTCGGCTGCACATGACGCGCCTGTACGCGTCAGTGATCAATAGATCAGCTGATTCGCACGCTCATTGGCTTTCTGGTTTGGCTAAGCACATCAGGCTATAGAGCGCTATCCAGACTCGGGTTCACGGCATCAAGAAGGCATTAAGAAGACTGTGTTCCACAGTGCTGATATCACTGGGAAAATGTGGGCTAGGCGTATGCGTGGCGTGACGTCCCATTCATATGAATAAGCTCGATGTTGAAAAGCTCAGTTTGTGTCACACCTATAGAGAATACTCTAGGTGGCTGATGGTCAAACCTCGCGATCAAAGGCACCTCTTTCTTCGTTCACGTGTGTAGGCCTATCACCATAAAGTCTGTCGGCATGTCATGCAATCTGCACATCGAGTTAGCCTGACGGGTAAACATCAAATGATGAGCATCCAGGCATCAGGAGGGCAGATGAATCAATTTCTCCGCATGTTACGGCCCGACTTCTGTGACTGTTTTATTCCGATACGTTCTCACCTGCATGGGAACCTCTTGACCCAGTGAATGGACCAAAGGAAATCTTCGCTTCATCTAAAAGTGCATGTCTTATGTTTGATCGAGGCGACGAAACGTTCATCTATCGCGGAATCAGTGTGTCAGCAATTTCCGGCTTTGATTTGGTGCTCCAGTCGGTGAAAACCACATTCCTTGTCTAGTTTCTACTCCCCGGAGAAAACGTGATTAACGAGAATGGCGATTCGTTAGGGGTTTTGTCTGAGTAGAAAGCCGCCAAATGGTCAAAGCGAATCGACTGTCGTTACCGGAAAAACGATGATTTTCCGAAAATGACTCCCAGTTTTGTGTGCGCACAACTTATGGATTCAAAATGTCCGTTTAACTTGGAACTAAACTCAGACTGCCTCTCGTGTTTTTGAATGTACTTTTTCATGTACTGAACCTCTCAGCGTGTGTACGGTTTAAGTCGACGATTGGTCGAAAAAAAGTCATTCTGAAACGCAGTCTAAGAGAATTCAGATAGGTCCGTTTCATTAAGCAAACTTGTCCATTAAGCAACGAAACAGGTAACCTGTTCGCCTAAGCCCTTGCGCGACGTTCCCAGCACCGCTTTTTTACTTCTCGTTCATGTTTCGCTTCACTCCGTAGTTGAACTTTCTCCATGTGTTACCACAAAGAGTAATTTCAGACAAGCAATCATGAATCATCTGTCAACGAACACCACTATTTGTAAAACACCGAGGTTCTTTTCCACGTAATATCTCTGAGCCTAGGCGAAAGGTAATGGGGATGAAGTAGTCCACGAATAGAAATCAACCCAAAATAAATTTTAGCCAATTAAACTATCGGTCAAACCGTCTATCATCAAAGAAATGCATGATGAACTAACCCCTGAGACCTTATGATCAGTACCGGCGAGCCAGTTGACCAAATGTATCAACAGGCGTTTGATGCAACGTAATGTGCTGCAGTGTAGGGCGCTCAAGTATCATTATAAGTAGTATCGGCCTACAACCGACAGTGACGATGAAATCATAACAGATAAGGTGCTGGTTAGAATATCTTCGAACATTATAACACATCTTTTCCTCCGTCTGGCTTCGGTTTTCAATAGTAAGCCTAATCATGTCCCGAATAAACGGTGCTGGTCTTAAGATGTTGGTCCAAAACTAGCGCTACCTGACCAGGAAGTCCTAACTGGCGAGTAAATCGATCGTCACAACCAGGACTGTTACTGGGTCGTCGTTCGGTGAGTTGGGCACACCAGTCACATCGCTCAAGTGTGAACACGTTCGCCTGTTCAGGTGTGTCCAACGTGCGTTTGGTGGAGTGATGGTTACACGCTCGTCTCTTAATTCGGATGTCCGGGGTTCAAATCCTGGAACGGCCATTGGATATGCACTGCTGATGAGCTCTAGTAAGAGCGAAACTCGAGTCCAGTGCTTCACCCCTTTGGTGTGGATTCAACGGAATAATTACGCCAGAACAGGAGCACGACCGTTCAAACGAGAGTGATGTGACTATGAACAAAAGATAAATATCTTATTAATAGGTGCAGCGAGAAGTGCGATTCCTTTGGAACAACAAGTCTGAAGAGTATCGAAATGGGGAGCCAACTGCCACATTGAGGGCACCTGTTGGGTGGTGCACATTGAATTGTTGAAACCTTTACATGCGATCAGAGACAAGTATAATTTTGAGGTGTGCAACCAAGTTAGCAACATTATCTTACGCTGTGCTATTAAGATCCTACACAGGTATATTCAAGTGCGCGTATTACCGTAGCAACATTAGTTAGGCACTGCAATCTCATCCGAATGGCTGGTGCCTCAAGAATGCGGATACACCTTACGTGAGAAGTAATCATCCCACCTGGAACACACTTGCTCCGCACACTCCAAACTCCATCCATACACGTTGTGACCGGCTGATCAGTCTTCACCAACTGATAACCCCTGTGGCACGTGACATTCAGCTGTGCTCCATGCCTTACACGACTGCCCGGTAGAATGATTCCGTCCGAACTGGTAAGAGCGTTCCCGATCGATTCCAGTTGGGGATAGTTCTCGGAGGTGATGGGGATGAAGCGTTGGGAAGGTGTGTTTGGTTTATGCATTAGAACGACATCGCCATGATCGACGGTGAACAGGTAGCAGTGTCGATTGCACGTTGGGATTGGTTGCGGAAGCCACGATGTTTTGTTGTCAATTAGGCCACAGTGAAGCGAATCCGTGTCTGACGACGCTGTTGTATCCGGATCACACCTGACGGGATTGATGGGAAATAGGGAACACTTCGAATGACTGTATGATAACTTTGTGGTAAATACGGGCAAAAGTAAACATCACCAGAAGGCGGCCTCACCGTGAGTACCCGATTGACATTATCCGATCTAGGGAAAATACTGTGATAAATGCCCACCAGGTTTCATGCTACCCTGGTGCGGATACTACTGATGAGGTATGCGAGTAGTATGTAGTTTTCTCGTAACTCCGCCCAGCGTCTAATCGAAGGTGAGGTGCAACTGCTTTCCAGCGTCTGTTTACAGTCGCGTGTTAGCCAGTGAATATCCACGAAAGTTTAAGAAGACGCGTGAAGATGTTCAGTCTTTAAAAACAAGGTGCATATGAGACGTTTACTTTCTTGACCAACAGTTTGTAAATGTTTAGTTGGCGTTCGCCAATAAACGACTTCCTTACACTTCTGGAACTGGTAGTTCTGACAGGTAACCAGACCGCCAGATCGCTACTGAGTCACTGTTTGAGGCACCCATCGAGCAAATCACATCACTCGAGCGTGAGCACTCTGGCCCGGTTCACAGATGCGTGCAGCATGCACTGGTGGAGCAGTGGGAATACACACTCACCTCGCACCTCGGATGCCCGGACTAGAAATTCCTGCATGGCAAAGAATGTGCATTGCCAATGACGTCCATTAAAAAAGCGGAGGTCGAGTTTAGTGCTTCCCCACCGTTTGGTTTGGACTCATTGGAACAAAACGAAATGTATGTGCACATAAACTCGCTAATCCAGCAGCCACCTATAACCGATCTCTGGATGTCCATAAGGAACAGAGTTCACAATGGTTGCATGGTAAATTCGTCTTTTTAACATTTCAGAGGCTGAGAAATAACTGGCGAATGACTAAAAACTCCATGGAGGTCAAAAAAGGGTGGAGCCGGTTTCCCATACGAATATAAAACCTTACAGAAACACAAATAAATGAAGGAAACTACTCACGCGGTTGCTGAAAACTCTTCGACAGCCCACGACCGGTTTCGCCTTTTTTGGGATCCATCATGTAGGCGCAGTCCCCTAGTTTCCGTCAAACTTTTGTACTACTGGAGCCCAAATTGGACTGATTGTGACAAATACACTCATTTGCGAATCAACCTCCAATATCGTAGCGACTGAAACATGAGGCGACCTGTGTGCAACAAATTCATTTAACGAACATCATGAATGAGAGATTCAATTGAGCCTCCCGTGAGAACCAAATTGATTTGCAAATGAGTGTATTTGTCACGAATAAATAAATAAATAAAATACGAAAACCTCAACGGTGATTGGGTGATGAAGACCCGAACGGTGCCAACGGAACAGGTTCAGACACTTGAGGTAGACACTCATGTCCAAGAGCGACCATAAGTGGCCTGGTGATCTCAAGGTCACATGGGCAGTTGGTCGAGTAAAACAAACACGAGTTCAAATGCACACACTGAATATAACTGTGGAATTGACAACATAGATAGTGAAGGAGAAACTTGGAAAATTTATAGTCTTCGGAACTAAAATGCTGCCCAAACCACTGTTGTGACTCGAAACACAGGCATATTTCTTGGGCTGTGTACTTCGAGGTATTACTCCTTCATGAACTGACAGCAGCCAGACCCTTTCAAACCCTCAGAATCCTTTTGGTGGCGACCGAGTGGAAAATATTCAATTTTACAAGCGTATATAAACTCCGATTTCAGCTGAAACAACTCCCTCTGTTCTTTCTGTCTCGAAAATATTTAACAAATCTAGTCTGCACGGAACGTCGCCATGGATGTGGGAAACCGCACCTTTGAGGGCAAAAATGAATATGGCAGGGGCATGTCACAGCCAGGCGGATTTTTGTGCATTTTTCAGGAAGCTATCAACCGGAAAGCCGTTTGATTTGGGGACTAGTTGGATTGCTCAAATGACAGTTTGTATCAGATCAAGAAGCAGCGCAACCGGATGTCGAGATGGTGTAGTCGGTCTGTACAAAATCCAAGAAAGCTTGACTCAAGATACTATATTTTATTCACAGAAATCTGTCGTTCCCGCTGTCCAGGAGCGTGGAACAGACAAACAACGAAGCTTTGGTCTTTTGGAAAGAATTGAATGTACTCAACGAAGCCAATAAGTGCTGAAAGCAGAGAAACATTGTTCAGTTGTTTATGGTATAGCATGGCGTGTCTCACGAATTCCGAGGCTGATTTGAACACGTGATTTCCTCGCTAGTCGTTTGGACTCTGAACCTTTCGGTCATGAGCAGGTGATTATTAATGCGATTAAGTCGCACTTAGACAGAGCACGACCTTGAGTGATACAACCCACATAATTCGCGTGCCAAGTAGCTGCTTGAGTGACGACTTCTCAGGCGGAGTGTCACTCATCAAGCAAATTCTATTGTTCCTCTGTGCTGCTTATAGATTATTGATTGTGTGAGGAGATTTTGGATTTTCAGTGGGAAATTCGTGCTATTGGTGAAGCCAGTCTGTGCTGAAAAGTCGAGAATCACTGTATATACATACATGGGTGAACAGCCATTATAGTCAGGATTGGGTTGACTGACGTAACGATCTGATGATCATGTAATTTGAAGGCCCTTCGTGGCGCCTTCGTGGAGCCTTCGTCGAGGACAAAGTATGAACGTTACCTCTTGCTTACACATCACAAGGTTGGCTATTTCCGCAAGAATCCTCAAGGCGTCTTGGTGCTGACAGACTGTGTGCACGGCACAAGATCACTGTGCGGTCTTGACGCATAGAATGTTGTGACTTTTAGTGTAATCATCAAACAAGGGCCGAATATTTTAGTGAAAAAACGTAGGATTTGCCGTTCCCACGGGGTTTCTGCGTGTACGTGCTGATTCGCCAATCTCGCTCCAGTGCCTGATGCGAGAAAAAAGACTCACAGAAGGAAACACAACAGCTATGTTCCGAACAAGCGAGTGAGTGCGTGCGAGTGGGAGAGCAAACGTTACAACGGCAACACGCTATTTAAAGGGGACTTTCTGACATTGATCCAGGCTGTCTGATAGGCTTTTAGTGAACGTCACCGTCAACGTCAACGTCACTCGTTCACCTGAACGCTGATCACATTCGGTCACGCTTGTGTGAGGCGCATGAACACTCATCAGCTTTTGCTGAATTGATTGAATGATTGACAGGCCTGGATGCTTGCGGGCTTTCCTATTGCGATTTTGGTGGGGTTTTGAAAGCACGTTTCAAGAACAATGCCGCTAGTTGCGTAGACGGAACGTGTTCTAATTATGGAACATTCTTATCGCAAATATTTCAATTTTCTCCCGGTTTTGTTGAAATAATGCTTCAGTTTCACGCAACACAATCCCTTTACAAAGAGTAAGGAATTTATGTGGTAGACGTAAAGTAAAGTGGCGGCACCCGTAGTAAAAATCGGGACAACTAAAAGACGACACAGTTTCAAGCTTCCGTATAACTTGCGACGTAGATACAACCGTATTCTGGCGCCTAGCGCAAAAATCTAATAATAAAGTATCAACTTTAAACTCTGCGGAATTCGGGAGGGGACATTCGATGGGGCGAAATTCCATGATAACTCATCAGGTGTATTTTTACTTACGTCAATGTGGCGCGGCCTCCAAATGTCGTCTTTTCTGCCGTAACTCGGCCATTGACCACCGTTGGGACCGGACCACAATCACGTTCTGAATAAACAAACCCAAATAGAAGTCGCACTGTACTGGTCGTGCACCAGATAGAAAATGACAGATTTTGGCGCCAATGGTACCTGATTTAATCAATAATATTGCTTCCGGCTAACAAGAAATGAGATTTTTTTAGAGCTAAAACGTCCCTCTCAGAGACGTCGTCCTGGCATTGACCGTCGATCAGTGACAACCGGTTAATGGACGTGCCGGGAAGACTTTCCAGTCGCTCAGCGAAGCTCGAACGTTTCTCCAGAGGAAACTGTTGGTAGATCACGTAGCGCAGATGCTCTTTCGTTTGTTCTCTGAACTGGACACTTTAATAAAACTTACGGAAGACGGGGAACACGGTTCCTCTTCTCCGAAGGTATTGTTTAAACCGATTTACTTTTGCGTATATTCGAAAATTTTTACCCCCTGTATACGTCTCCGTAAGGTTGTAAATACCAGCTTGTTCTCAAACGCAATGGAAAAGTTAGACAAACGAAGTAAAAAGGCGCAAAATTTTCAGACCAAAGGCTTTATCCAGTCTCTTGCAATGAATTGGACGTCTTCAACCGAAGCTAAATACATTTTGGAGTTGTATTAGTATGAATCAAAGGTCCTCAAAGTTCGAACTGCCAGCCGGACTCTGCAGGTACAAAAAAGCTAGAGTAATCTCCAATCCGGGTGGAAACCTCATCCTAAAAGTGAACTCACACTAGGCCGGTACCCAAAAATTCCTTCAACACCTGTTTCATCCTTGTTTTCGAGTAATTGATTGCGATCATCTTCAGAAAGGATTGAACCTGCGTCTTTCCGAGTAGTTGGGGTCCACCATTCGGCGTCGAGTGGCTGATATGATGTGTATTCAACTTACACTCGATTATAACTCACAAATCGATCGGACTGCTTCGTTGAACGCAAGCTTTCCAGAAAAAAGGCTCAGACAATGTGTGAATTAGTCATTTTCTCCCGAGAAACTAACAGTGTGTTTGCTGTTGAATGTCAGTAGTCACAGTAGGCAGTCCTCTCACGTGATAAAATTATGTCCGCAGGACTTATTGATTTTGTTAGCAGGACTGCCTCCTAACAAACATATTCACGTTGTTGACTATAACCAATGTTTCAAAGCTCAACATTTCTCTCTCTCTCTCTATTTCAGCCTTTCTTTGCGCTGTTTTTCTCCATTCCTTTCTCGATTCTTTTGAATATTGATATTGGCTGTTCAGTTGCTGCAATACAATTTCCTCAAGGTTATTTGTCCTCTCAATTCCGTGTGTAGCTGACAAGGTTGATTGAGTGCGCATTGGAGGACCTAACAGATTTCTACGACTTTTTAAACTGCCAAGCGTTCCGCCAGACGTCGGAACACTTACAGATGCCTATTTTCGGTGTTTCGGCTTCCACATACTTTTCACTTGTACCTGGTGTGTTTTAACCACTGTGTACTAAAAAAATGGGAAGTCAAACATCGATTTTTCCACGGCATTCTTTGTGAACTGCGTCACATTTGAGATCTGACAGGACAAGGTAAAAGGAAACTCGGAGAGCCTCCACGGGGTTCGCGGGTTGCGACAGAGGTATCAGCAACGTTGGAAGAAGCTTTCCTTCAGGAAACTGTGCGGCGGCTTTTGTGTGGCAGATTTAGTCGAAAGACATCATATACGATAGATTTAAACAAGCTCCTGTGGAATCTTTTATCAACATCAAAGTCGTTTGCAAATTGAGTGCATTTCGTGAAAGAAAAAGGTAGCTAGTTCGCGGCAGTTTAAAAAGTCATTTTAAAAAATTTTACAAGTCAAGATTCAGTTGCTTTTTGCTGAAATCTAAATGTGCCCTAAACTTGACCGACACTAGTTTGGCGAGTTACATGATATTTGAATCAAGCGGTCCCAGGTACTTCACTCCTAGTCCAGTTCATTTACATTCTCCCCCAAAGTCTAGCTCACTTTCCATTTGGCCTAATTACTCTAGTGCACCTTCCCACTTTAGGGACCATTCAATCTCTACACTGTTCTCCCTAGGCTGGTTTCAGCTCGCACATCGTTGGCTACAAGCGTGGAGCTAGACTTAAGTGTAACTGCGACGAAACTTGATACATTGTTCAAAAATATAACGATCAACTTGGATCGAGAATTCATCGTTCCAATAGAGGGATTTGATGGATTTTGCAGTAATCCGTCCACCGTGAGTTCACAAGAAAAAGACTTGGAAGTTGTGGACTAAAAGATTCAGATTGGTTCAGGGACCAACAGAAATGACGTGGACTCAACTGCTTTTAGCACAAAGTCAAAGGCACTACCAGAAAAGTTTAGTTTTAGTTTCCAGGTTAAACCTGTAACTCAGTGCTTTGGTTTATATATCCTCTTGATCGTAGAAATTTGGTTGACCAATCAAATGTCAGTGGAATTTGAGATACTATTGGTCAGTTTCATACTAGCCAATTAAGTGTGGTTGTGCACCTACCTTTGCAGATTGTTCTTTCTCCATCCCACTTTCCCGTTGGCAAACACTGTTTCTGCTCCGGACCAATCAGCTCATAGCCGTGATTGCAGTGCACCTTCACAATGCTGTTGACTTCCGTTGAATAGGTTGAGATGCCACCGTTCTCTGGTGCATCCAGTCGAGGACATGTGATAGCTTGAAGGACACAGATAAGTGGAAACGTTGTTTTTTGTTACTAGGGCGATCTGGAACATTCATCAGGGGCTTCATCGTCAGAGTAAGTTATACCGAAACCCCGAGAAAAATTGTGCAATAGTTTCCGTCCTGTCGGGTTGCAACAACAGCAGCAGCCAGCTATCTCTAGGGTTATTCCACTCGGCGAAATTCCGATGGTTCTATACACTACTGATTAAATCACAAGTAAAAAATCTGATGTGCCCTTCACTCATAAAGCTTACCTAAGTTAGTCACGTGTTGACTGGCTACTCGAAAGAAGAGTCCTCATATACAAAGCTTGTGTGACCAATGAGAGCGCTCGTTTCTGATCAGATCACAGCTAGAGTGTTGACAGTGCGAGTTTATCGAACCTTTAATCAACCACCCGTTTTCAACTACCACTCGGAATTCAGCTTAGAATCTGAGAAGGGTGCACGGCTGAACCACCGCTCAGAGCTTCTCAGACACTTCGAAGCGGCTAACTTCGTTTGCAGGATGGATTCATGATTGAAACGACTATATTGGCCTCACGCCAAACTGAATGATGCAGGANATAAAATACAAAGTTTTTGGGAGGCGGCTGGTTGCGCCCCTGCCGATAGAGGATTAAGCTATAATTAGTAGTGAGAAGTAGGCATAAGATAAGGCGAATTTCCTTCAAATTATATCGAGACTTCGGCATGTTGCTCGAAATCTTGTTCCACATGTACAAATTCAGATGACCTTACTACACGGCAAGCAGCTGAATTCGAAAGGTGATGATGTTGGGGCATCAGAAGGTGATCTGATTGTGATTATCGGACCAGCAACACTACTCACAAAGGAGTCAACGAATCCGGAAATAATTCAGATGACCTTACTACGTTGCAAGCAGCTGAATTCGAAAGGTGGTGTTTGGGAACTAGTTAGCTTCCGAAGGTGATAGGGTTGCAATTATCGGACCAGCTACACTACTCACAAACGAGTCAACGAATCCGGAAAACTTTCTGAAAATCCTTCAGTTACATTTCAGGGAGGACAAGTGTGTACCGATTCCGTTTTGGCACATTTACCGAGTAGATGTGAAGGATTTAGAAACGTTTATGCCTGTCTCCAGCTGCCACATTCTAGCAGAAAAAGCGTCTTGACCACTAAAGAAGCGATGAATTAAGACTTTAGCACTCTGAACTTGGGATTGAAAGGGATTGAAACTCTGAAAGAGATTGACTCCTATCATCATCATCATCATCATCACCATCATCATCATCATCATCATCATCATCGACAGCATAACATCAGCGTTCATTAATGATGCTTCGCTGCCACAGATGATGGTTGTAGGTGGGCTGTGATACTGTCTAGGCGCCCACACCTAGACAGGAGGATGATTAGGGTCCCCAACCAAAGCCTGACCGCAAGGTAGAGGTGTTTGGTGAGAAATCAAATGCATTACCATTTCGACGGAACAAGTCACCACATGCTCCAACCCCCAACCTGGAAGACCGGGGGACCATGTTCGTCAGACCTCCAACTATTGACCAAGCTGGTTTGAGAGGCTCTGTGAGTGTTGCGGAGAAACAGCCCAGCTCAACGGGTCACTGGGGTGCTCAAACCGTTACACTGCGACAAGGTCCAGTCTCTTCGTGTCGGTACCCGGTACTTGAATAGCACGATTCAACCTCCGAAGGAGATTGTTCTCCATCTTATCGACCATTCAGTGTCCTTCTTGTATGCCCGATCCCGAAGAAGGGATGTTTTTTCATTTGCATTGTCTCAGCTAATCGAATTACCTCTCCTATAGGTTCACATTAGTTGATGAAACAAAATCACTTCGGTCAGTGCTTGAAATCGCGCATTACAACGACTCTGGAA